TCCTATCAGGGAACCTAACAGGGTCTAAAGTGTCCAACACCCAGATCAGTCAGTGGGCACTGTTCCTGACTGGATGGGGAGTCGGACATGAAACCCAGTCTAAATTAGATATGCTCCCATATGCTTTGCTAATAGAGGGCAGCGCTCACGAGTGCCCTGATATAGATCCCTGCCAGGGAAGCACAGGGGTAATTGAGGCTCCATCACTGGACAAAAATCCAGCAGTGGAGGATCAGCCTGCCCAGATGTGGTTTACAGATGGGAGCTCCCACTTAAAAAATGGGAAGCGGTTTACCGGGTACGGAGCAGTGAATTTAAACAATGATCAGATAGGGGGGCCTTTGCCACTGGGGTATTCAGCACAAGCTGCTAAAGTGAAAGCCATAAGGGAACTCCTTGAACAGCATAACCCACCTGAAGGGAAACTATGGATCTACACTGATTCAAACTTCTGTGCTAATGTTCTGCTACATTGGGTATAAAATTGGAATAAAGCTAATTGGCATACAGCTGATGGCAAGGAAATTGCTCAAAAGACTGATTGGCAGTCAATTTGGGAATGGATTCAAAGATACCCATCTTCACTATGCATTTCACACGTTAAGGACACCTTAGAAGCCAAAATGCACCAATTAGCAGATGCTGCAGCAAAGAAAGGGGCACAGGAGGATATCTCAGCAATACAAACCCTGTCCTCAAGCCACCAAAATTGGAAAATTCAGGAGGAGTATGCTGTTCATGAGGGAACTGGGTAGTTTAGATGGGTGCCACCCCCAGATTGCAGAGAGGAAATTATTAGTGCCTGTCATAGTCTCAGACACGAAGCATCCGAAGCCACTACAGCCAGGGTGCAGGAGATTGCTATGTCAAGGAGTGGGTGCAGAACTGCTTACATTGTGCAGGGGAGGGAGCAAAACCAAAGAACACGGGACTACTTCTCCACCAGAAGGCAGTGGGCCTGTGGCAATGAATCCAAATGGATTACATTGATAAGCTTCCCTGCACAGCTAGGGGAAACCAGTATCTGTTGGTGATCATAGATTCCTTCAGTGGATGGGTTGAGGCATTCCCCATGAGCACCCACACTGCTGAAGCCACAGCAAAAAAGCTGTGGACAGAAGTAATATGCAGGTTTGGGACCCCTAAAATTATTGACTCAGACCGAGGTCCCCATTTCACTGGAGCTGTTGTCAAACAGCTGCTGCAAGCCTTAGGCATCAGGCAGAAGTGGCACATTCCTCACCACCCTCAAGCATCTGGGCAGGTAGAGCAGATGATTAGGACAATTAAGGAGTCATTAAGGAAGGTGGTAAATCAAACAGGTACAGATTGGGATCTTAAACTTCCTTTGATCTTAGCTGCTCTCCAAACTGGGAGCCGCTTGGGAACCAGCCTCCAGCACTACCATATTCTATTTGGCAAATGGATGGCTCTAATACCCATCAGGCTTATCCCATACCCAGACAGCCTGGACAGTCCACAGCCCACAGAATTATTGAAAGTTAAAAGAGCTCCCACTCTTGGTAAAATACAACCTTTGGAGCTTCCTATGTGGTGCAGGTAGTTTCCCTGCAGATAAAATGGTCCCTTCATTGCCCAGAGGCCTTCTTGGGTGATGGAGAGCCTGCCTAGGTGGGGACCAGAGCCTGGAGAGAGCTGTTGGAAGTGGTTAGAATGGCTCCATTCCTTTCCCTGGATAGGAGCCCACTCCGAACCAAGTGGCTCATACTCCTGTCCCTGCCTACTGCTCCCTGAAGCTGAATGCAGCATGGCCAAGAGCTGAGCCCAGGATCCCACTGGCAGTCAGGGACCCACATCCCATGTACCCAGATGGGAAGTGCAGCATGGAGAGAGATGGCAAGAGGGCAGGCAGAGCTCACTCCTGGTTCCAGGCAGGTGACCAAGAGCTGGTGGCCGCTCCCCGGGCAAAGTCTGCTGCCTTTGTCCATTGCCTTGCAGTGGGTAAGCCACCTGGCAGCTCCCATGGGCACCAGGGGTGCTGAGCGCAGGCCCTTTATCCACGGCTGCATGGCCAGGGCAGAATTGTGAGGCACCCAAAAGAGGCCATGGGTGTTGGGCAGGTGGACACGCCTAGCCTTGCACAGGAAGTGCTCCTCTGCCTCTCCCAGGCGCTAGGATGAAAGGAAGTGGCAGTGCCCTGAGTTGTCCTGCCCAAATGCAGAGCTTTGCAGGAGGCTGGTGCACAGCTCATGGTGCAGCACAGAGGGCAGCTCAGGGTGTGAAGTGGCCCACACCTCTCAAGGGGCCTGTCAGGTGGGAAGAGGAAGGAGGGGCAGGAAAGCAGGTCAGGGGAAGAAAGCTCTTGAAAGGGCAGGAGGGACCTGAGGAGAATGTTTCTGGTCAGGGTTGTATTGCAGGGAGACATGGGCACTGGGGACTGCAGGAGGTGTGAGCACAGCTGGGGCAGTTCCTTACTGTGCTGTAGTGGTGATTCCATTTGCTGCATGCAAGAGGTCTTTGGTGTGACAGTGATCAGAAAAAGGGTGCTGGCTGGTGTGGGGCTGCTCCCTTGAGCACCCTTTTTTCCCTGGCACTCCTCCCTTTTGCCTCTGCAAAACACCCATAGTCGCTGCAGGCTGCAGGGTCCCGGGGGGCCTGCCCTAGCTGTGGGAAGGGCACTGTTTCCCGGTGGAGAGTGGCAATGTTTCCCATGTTTAGGGGTGCAAGGCAAGCCTGCTGCCCTGCTGCTGGGGCTGGGAGACCTCCCAGGCCAGCCTTGAGGGAATGCTCGTGCCCTTGGGCCGTGGTGCCTGTGACCAGGGTGGAACGGAAGCGGAGCCGGTGGGGCCAGTGCTTCCTGCTGCAGTCCCTGGTGATCTGGTCGGCAGGGTTTGGTGTTTTCACTGCTGTAGTGTGGATTCATTTCCTGGCCAGGCAAAGGAGCAGCTTTTGATTTTCACCTTGCATCATAGGTTATGCGAAGGCGGGCACGGCATGTTCCCCCCCTGCGAGCGCTGGTGCCCCCCCTCACAGCAAGCACTCTGGCTGTTAGGGGGGTATGGAAAGCGCTAGTGTCCCCTCTGAAATTGGCTCTGCTGATGTGCTTGGTGACCAGCCACTGGGGGAACTTCTTCCCCAGTCACTGGCTGGCTGCTGGAGGACCCCCACCCCCAGTTGTGCCCCACTGGTGCCCCCCAGATTCAACAGGCACAAGTCACCCATAGCCTGCACTCCCCAGGCCTCCTGTGGACCAGAAAGGCAGAGGCCTCCCTCCCATAGCCAGGGGTAGCTTTCCTGGCCATCCCTGGGCTGCCAGGTCCTGCTGCCTTGGAGAGACAGCCCTGAAGCTGGGTGCCTGAGTTCCCTCTCGCCCCAAGCACTCCTGCCACTTGGAGGACAGGTGGCTGTAGCTCTCGACGGCCAAGCAGAGCATGAGCAGCCGAGGCACTGGAGCTGCTAAGCTGGTGGGAGGAGGCTGTTGCGTGGGAGTGCAATTGGGCAGCCAGAAGCAAATGCCAGGAGACAGATTTGAACCCATCTTGTACGGACAGAAGAGGGCAGGCTGGGCAAGGGAAAAGACCTCACTTGAGCCCAGGGGACATGCATAGGAGGTGCACTGGTGGCTCTATGTTTGAGTTTCTGCCTACCTCCTGAGAGATCAGAATTCAAGTCCCAGCTGGGATGCCCTGGGGTGAGTAAAGTGACAGGGGAGAAGTTCTTGTTGCAGTGGAAAGAGGCCGTTATGTTTTCCCCCTTTCTCCCCCTCCAGGTACCTAGGCCCTATATTCCTTGTTATTTGACATTTTGTATTTTGTGCCTTTTATATTTCCCCAACCAGTACTGTTTGCTCTGCTGTTTGTATTTTATATTTTGTTAACCCTGTCTTTTGTCAACTGGATGAATATGTCTATGACTGTAAGTGTCTAACCTTTGTTGAATCCTGCCTCCTCGGGGTGTTGTAGTGTCCCCTATACCCCCTGGTTTATACTGGTTATGTTCCCGGCACTGTTCTCTCATTAAAAGGTGTATGGTTAAGTCCCCATTGGTGGTCTGGCTTTGCTCTGTCGGGGGAGGAGGGCCCGTACACCTCCCGCAGCGCTTGTGCACCTGCTCTGCTCCCTTCAACTGGAGAGGGGGTCCCTCTTGGAGTTCCACCCAGGTTACAGTGGGAAACAGGCTGGGGACAGCTCTGGCAAACTGAGGCACAGGCCAGAGGGTTCAGGGAAAACTGAGGCACGGGGTCTGGAGGGCGTCTGGCAGGAACTGGGGCATGGTTGGGGATCGAGGCAGGGGGGAAACTGAGGCACGGGGAGACCGAGGCACAGGAGCTGCAGGGTCCAGGAGGGAAGTGGAGGCTCAAGGAGCCAGAGGCCACTGGAGACACTGAGGCAGGGGAAGGTGAGGCAGGGACTCAGGACAGGGAGGAAGGGGCACCTCCCAGGCATCTCCGAGCGGCGGGCCTTGGCGGGGTCTCCAGCTCTTGGAGCAGCCCTCGCCCCTGCGGGTCCTGCCCGGCAGCTCCTGCTACCAAAGGGTTAACGCGCCGGGAGTGGGGAGCAGCTGCGGCCGTGACGCGCCACAGACTTTAGGCGACGTCACGTGTGTGACGGAAGTAGGTGGGGTCGCGGCAGCAGGACTGGGTGGTTTGTGCTCAGCTCCCAGGAGTCCTCGCGGCGTGGGGAGGGGAGGGGAGCGGGGGAGAGAGCCGGGTCGGGTCTGGCACCGGGGTGAGGGGCTGCACGTCAGGAATGAGGGACACCAGCAGGGCTGCCGCTGGGGAGAGGGCTGCGGGTTAAAAGTGGGGGGCTGGGGCTGCAGGTCAGGTGTGGGGACACTGGGGGGCTGGGGTGCAGGTCTGGAGTGAGGGGCATTGGCAGGGCTGGGGGACAGGGGGCTGCAGGTCGGGAGTGAGGGGCACTGGCACGGCTGGGGGGGACGGAGGGGGCTGTGGGTTGAGAGTGGAGGGCACTGGGGAGGCTGGGGCTGGGGGGCAGGTGCGGGGAGCACTGGGGGGTGGGGTTGTGGATTGGGAGAGGTCAGGTGTGGGGAGCACTGGAGGCTGGGGTTGTGGATCAGGAGTGAGGGGCATTGGCAGGGCTGCTGGGGACAGCAGGGGCTGCAGGTCGGGAGCGAGGGGTACTGGGGGAGGGGGCTGGGGCCAGAGGTGAGGAATGAGGAGATGCAGGGCAGGAGGCTCCACCAGTCTCTGGGGCTGTTGGGAGATGCTGGAGATGTTGCCCAGGTCAATGGCACGGGGATGTGGGTGGGGGCCGGGGGGCTCGGGACCGTGTGCCAGGCACTGTGGGGGTCTGTGGGGCTGGGGGAGGGCAGTGGGGGGCGGGTCTGGGGCC